GACATTTTTCCCACACCTCCGAGTCTTCCCCTTTAAAGGGAAACTTTCTTTTCAGTTTGGAGGAAAAAAACACCTTGCGCTCTGGATCTTTCCACTCTGTGGTCACCACGTCCTTGATAGACTGGTGAACTGGGAACGTGCGGCCTTTTTTGGGCTGTACCCCTTTATATAATCTGTCATGTATAGACAGTTCCCCTTGCTATTCGGAGATACCCAACGTATCCCATACCGATTTGAGGAGCTCATTGGTCTCCTCCACGGGGAACCAATATCCCCCTTGAGATAGTCCCGTGTCTTCTCCTGATTCTGACCCTGCATCTTTTCCAGAGTCAGCGGAAGATTCCGACACCGTAGCCGCCCTCTCCGAAACAATGCTTGCTCATGAGGCCGCCTGACGGGGAATGTGCGTTCCCGAACATGAGGGGACTGCCACAGCCTGGCTACCAGTCAGATCCGTCTCCTGACTAACTGTGCGGAACGACTGAAAGGTGGACAACATTTCTTCCCGCATGGAATCCAACAGATTTTTGCACATGCTGGAGGATTCATCCCACCAGTTTCCCAATGCAGGACTGGCATAGGGGTCTTTTCAGATGCGGCTGCATACTTTCTATTGCATTGTGCACATCTCTTATTACTTGACTGACTTGCTGCAGTTGTTTTCTGCAAGACACAAAAAACGGCCAAGCCATGTCAAACCAACATTGTGTCCACCCCATTTCTCATGCCCCCAACACTGAGAAAATAACCGGTAAAAGGAGTGGGGAACTCCCCCTCTCTTACCTTAGAGCTGCCGGCACCAGGATCCCCCAGATCAATTGATGCCATCATGGTATTAGAGTCTCCAGCTGAGCCCCCTGGCCCCTCCAACTCCTGTGCCCCACCATTGGTGCCCCCCCTTGCGTGTGTGGGCACCGCAAGGGCCTTGCGACCCCCTGCTTCCACTGTGTTGGCCATCTGTAGCGTGGCTGAGCGTTAACTGAGGCTTGGAGACGCCGGGTCATATGACCCTCGCACCCGGAAGTGACGTCAGACGCCCGCGCCGCGCGTCACTTCCGCCCTTACAGCTCGTCTCCTCCCTCCCCCTGTCTCCACGAGGGCCGCCGCACTGCATGTCTCCAGCGGCCGACCAACTCCATACAGAGACCAGGGGATGCCGCTGTGGCCACCACCGAATCACCCGGATCAGGTAGGAGCGCCACACACAGTACTTGAGGCAGGGGTTTAAGGACTACACCAACATGCTAGTTAACCTGCATACACTTATGCCGGGAAACTAAAGGCAATTTCTTTTGGACAGTTGGGGCTGTCCCGGAAGCCCCCCTCCATAGGTACCACAGGTCCCCTGACCCGCTGCTGTACCCTGTTGGGGGGAAGCCCCTGCTCACTAGCACGTAGGCCTAGGAAAAAAATAACAAATGTTACGATGTCCTGCTCGGCCGGAGGAAACACAAAATAACTGAAGTGTGCTAGGCTGGTACTCTTTTTATTCTAGGTGTGGGTGATGTGTTTCCTGTTTCCAGTGGGAGGAGCCTATCTCTCTAATGCTGTCCTGGAAGGTGACTAGAGAAAACTTCATGTTGGTTCCTATAGAAAGGTGTCTGAACACACAGTGAATCGTAGTTTGTTACGCATGGTCCTATGTAGCCGCAGACCAGTCAGGGTGCTCATGCTAACCCGCGCCCACTACCAATGGGTATGTGAGCATCAGAACTAGACCACAGAGCAATGGAAGAAGGTGGCCTGGTCTGACATCTCATGTTTTTTTTTACATGTGGATGGCCGGATGGCTTACCTGGGGAAGAGATGGCACCAGGATGCACTATGGGAGGAAGGAAAGCCGGCGGAGGCATTGGGTTGCTTTGGGTAATGTTCTGCTGGGAAGCCTTGGGTCCTGCCATTCATGTGGATGTTACTTTGACACATACCACCTACCTAAACATTGTTGCTGACCAAGTACACCTCTTCATGGAAATGATATTCCCTGATGGCAGCGGCCTCTTTCAGCAGGATAATGCACCCTGCCACACTGCAAAAATTGGTCAAGAATGGTTTGAGGATCCATGGAGGCCTCACCTCCCAACTTACAAGACTTAAAGGATCTGCAACTTATGGCTTGGTGCCATCACACCTTCAGAGGTCTAGTGGAGTCTATACCTCGATGGGTCAGGGCAGTTTTGGTGGCTAAAGGGGGACCTACTCAATATTAGGCGGGTGATCATAATGTTATGGCTGATCGGTGTATATGTGAATGGTTACACCTCCCAAATGTTTTGTTATTGTGTTCAGCCAGTCTTCTGATTCACATATTCCTGCCATACTGCATCACCAGTCAGGTGTCAACATTATTTTTTTATTCAGCTTTCCTGTGTCACCTCAGACCTCCATCCCACCCATTAGATACCGATTTAGCATCATCAACTCCATCCAATGAAAAGACTGATGACTCAGGAAGCTGTAAAAAGAGCGGTCAGAGGGCTCTGCGGCAGGGCTATGTGAATCACAAGACCGGCTGAACATAATGACAAATCCT